TTTGTATTCGAGTGAAGGATGAATTATTCGAGTGAGTCATACAGAAAATGTAAGTGGAGTGTCGACGTGCCGATATGTTTTCCAGGGTTGTGCTTCAACAGCTTTCGGGGGTAGTTTTCAAGGGTACCACGGGGGGGAGGGGGGATGGGGGGTTTAGAGGTGTTTTCCGGAACCCCGGGAACGTTGAAATGCTGTCCCTGGGCCTGAAGGACTATTGATTATTTTTGCTGCTTCGCGACTTGAGCTGATCGTCTTGAAAGGACTTTTCGATGGGGCGTTCGAATGGTGGGCAACAGGTTCGGTTGTCTGCGAGAAGTCTCACCGCAGTGCCAAGCTGCTTTTTGCCTGGCCCAGTTTACGTGCTTGAATGTATGTAGTCTATGTAAAGAGGTCAAATGAGCTCCAGACGACATAGTTTTTTTCTTATCGTCAAATTGATGTGCCTAGTAGAAGCTTGGGGTGGTTTCTAGGTGTATGCAAAGATGGTTGGGGTGAACTCCAGCACCGGGGTCGGGGGGGGGGGGTACTCATAGTCGNTTGCGTACGGATGACAGCTGCGTATGACTTAATTTATTTCTGGTGCTTTCACTTCCAGAGACAGTTACAAGCACTGGGTAACTGCCTCGAGGGTGCTTGACCATTTTAACACAACGTGGTGCGATCATCCCCCTTGCGCGGAGTGAGGGTTCTCCACCCCGCAAAACACGATCCACTCGACCACCATCATGGTTACCGCCGAAAAAAAAACGGAGGTAAAAACAAAACGGTAACCTGGTTGCCGAGCTCACGAAGTGAATTGGCTTGTTTTACAACGTGGTTGCCAATCGACGAAAACCCAACCCCGATGGCAAACGCCGGGGGGTCGGGGAGGGGGGAGGGGCGATACCTTGATTTTGCCGCGAAACCGGGGATATGGTAATTTTGTCCCCGGGTGTGCATGGATTTTTTTTTTTTCCAACAATGTTCCTTGTCATAGAAAACACCTACCCACAAAGGGCACGTTGTGGGAGTGTAAGGTGAACGTGAAATAAGGGAAATGGGCTTGGGGTCCCCGTGGATAATTCTTACCGTAGCGACCAGGTCCAAAGTATGCCTGTTTGAACGGGCATTACATCACCTACGCAACGTTTTTCGTTGTAAGTTCTTTTCAGGGAGTCGATACATGAGCAGAATGGATCAACTATGCTCTCTTAGTTGTGGCTATTTTCATGTGCGTGCGCAGGCAGCACCACCGCCGTACGGTCAAAAGCGGGGTAAAATCCAGCCCCGATTTCAGTCGGGAAACCCGGGGATGTGAGGATTTTGTCCCCGGGCGTGGATCAATTCCAAATTTCCCGCCTCAAATTGATAAATGTTGCAACAGACGCATGTGCACAAAAAATCAGAACATGAAGCGCTTCAGAACGTACGAAATCAGCCACAAAGGTAAAGTTTTCCTTAATTGGGGGGGTGGGGTGTTGTCCATGTTTCATTAAACACTGATGTGGAAACCTGGATATAGGTATCTTCCTAACGGTACTGACGCACATACAACCAGTGAAGATCGGAGACCCTACGAACACAGTTCTACAGGTCTGCAGATGTTTACAAAGAAAGAACCTCCGCCTGCTGTGACCAGTAGCCGGAGCATGAGGGAGCCCACCAAGGCTCACTCTCTCACCTTTCACCCTAGCAAGGCTGACTAACGTCAGCCACGCTTGGCCATTCCTTGCCACATTGCAATAAGAGCGAAATTACCTCCGCTGGTGAACGGTTATTCACCAATTCAGGGACCTTGGCTCATAACGGAGCAAGGGTATTCTCATTGGCGCTCGACGAAAGTCTAATTCGCGGGTACACCAGTACAGACAACAATAATGTCTGGTGTTGAGAAACAACACCCGAAAGAGAAAGAGAAAGAGACAACAACATCTCTTGCCCCTGAGGCCGCGCGTGCGGACGGGTTCACCCCGGCTCGCACCCCGAGCCAGAAAAAAAGGGACAAAAAGAAACGGCGGGCTCAAGCAGCGGAAACCGCTCTAGACCCGACGGCTGCTGACAAACAACAAGCAGCGGCAGCAGAGGTGCTGGCCGGACCCTCCGACCAAAAGATCGGAGGGCGCTCTACAGCAGACGAGTCCGAACACGACTCCGACGCTGGAAGCCAGGAAGGCAACACCAACCACGTCTACAACAACAGTAACGACAGCAGCGACGAGGAGGGCGAGATCAGCGAGCCGGGCTCACGCGGAGTTGCAGGCGACATGCTGGATGACGACAACGACCTGGGGGGGGGGCGCCTGATTCCGGGCAGTGCTCTCGAGCGGTTTGTTGTGGGCGCGCTCAACCATGCGGTCAAAACCAAAACTGACCCACCCGGCTTTGTGCTCCAGCTAGCGCTGGGAACCTCCATCCCCGACCCCGTGATCGCCCAGGTGAACCCTCGCCGTATTAGTCATGAGTTAGCCCACGAAAACCTCACTGCTCGCCATGCCGCTGTCAACGACACCACCAGCAGTAGTAGTACTTCGCAATCTCGAAACAGACAGAGCGCGGATTCTATCTCGCTGTTGGCAAACACTCCGAACAACACAGGAGAACTGCAACACCTTGGCACACCGAACAGCACCGCGGTCAATCCAAACCTTGACATGCAGCAGCAGTACAACTCGGTAGACCAGGCACACGTTAGCACGAAACGTTTCACGCTCAAAGCTACGGATCTGCCTGCCTCGATCAAAATCGAAGGTAAAGCAAACGAGGACATTCCTGAAATGGTGGCGCTTTATCGTTCGCGTATCAGCCTTCTATCGCAGGATAACGTATCTCAGCAAGAAATCGACCATCGCGCTATCAAACACCTTCCTCTGGTAACGCAAGGTACAGCAGCACAGAGCCTCAACCTCGTACTCAGTTCAGCAATTGAATGGAGGCCTGAACCCATGCTAGCCGCCCTTCGCGCCAGAGGGGAACCTGTAACACGCAGGCCGCCAAACACGTGGCGTGAATGGGTCACTGCCCTGACCACGCTATTTGCACCCAACAACAGAATCGCGCTACTTGCTCGGGATGTCATGACCCTGGAAGCTGAGTCCGATGAATCTGTCGACGCGTTCGCACCTAGAGTGTTCAGAGCATACTCACGTCTGCTAGCAGCTGAACGCACAGTTCCAGCAAACAAAACACCTCACGAACATGTCTTCGACAAAGCTATGATCGCATCGTTCGAGAACGGCCTCCACCCACATATCCGCACGGAGATGAATCGGGAAGATGCCAACGAAACATTCATGGAATCCAAAGGACGAGCTCGAAAACACGAAGCTAATCGGTTGCAAGAATCACCGATTCCGTCCAACGATACCTCTCTTGCTGTATCTTCCATGTACGCACCGACCGGAAACCAGCTCGGCAACCAGAACGAGTTGCTGACAGCGCGAGTTAATGCCCTAGAGGAGGCCATCGAACAAGGTCACCGAGTAGCGAGCGTCAACAACAAAAACACCAAAGACCGGTCGCGCGACATCAAAGCCAAGAAAACCCCGGCGTATCGTGACAAAGGCACCAAAACGGTGACCTGGCGGGACCGCATCGGCAGTCGAGATGGGAAATCGGCTAGCAAGAAGCAACGCACCGACCCTGAAGAGGAATGTGATTTTCCCCTGTGTAAACACACAAAAGGGAGATTCACGCACGGCCGTGCAGACTGCCACCACGAAGCGACCTTGAAGAAGCACAAGTTCAAGATCGTGCAGCAACCATAGGGTTGCCCGCGTAAGCTAGATCTCTTGGCTGATGGGGGAAAACAGTCGCTTGGGAAACGTACCAAGTCGGACAAGAGGGATACCGAGCACCGAAAAAAGCGTGTTCAACCTCTGGTGGGAAGTAATCAGGAAGCAGATGAGGTGCACCGGAAAAAGGCAGCCGTAGTACTACGTGGTAGGCAGCCGTACGTGATGGATCAACAGTCGCGTAGGGTATGTCTCGACAGGAGTGCTCCAGTAGCTGCGCAGGTTGACACCGTTGTCCCAGTCAACAGTAGCGTTAAAGCCGCAACAGGCGCGAGTAGAGGAAAATTAGCGGTCGAACGAGCACCGCAGGCTCTATACGTAGCTACCGTAACTGGAGGTCTCAAGTCGAAACGTAGGTCGAGAATATTGACTGCCGACAATAATAATGAGGAATTTTCTGCATTCCACATGTCAGCGCTAGCTGGATACCCTGAAAATCCATCTGCGTTGAACGCTGCGTCAAAACGAGTACGCATTCCTGCCAGAATCAACAATCAATCGGTTGCTGAAATTACAATCGATACAGCGTGTGACGTACCATGCATATCTGCACAATTTATGCGTCGTCACCAAACGCTGAAAGACACGGAAATATTTCCCGTGCCACCAGGAGCAATAAATCTGCGAAGCGCAGATGGCTCACCTCTTAAAATTAGAGGATACACTCGGTTTGAACTTACACTGGGAGAAATAACGATTCCTGTCGAAGCACTAGTGTTGCCGTCGTTGGGACCCGATAATGTGTTACTAGACAATAGTATCATGGGAGCATTCGGTGCTGTGTTGGATTGGCAAGCGGAACAGCTGTCATTCAAGAATTCAGAGGTAAAAATACCCGCGACACACCGAAAAACAAAACAGCCCGCGACCGCATCGGCAGATGGAATTAATTGCTCGATAGTAGCATTAGACGGTGATACAGAACCAGTGCCTGTCTACCTCAGCAAGAAATGCTGCGTTCCTGCCCAACACGAAATAGCAGTGGAAGTACATTCACTCGAAGCTCCGGCAGAAACAACACCGGCTTTGGTAGAACCACGCATAGTCACAACGGAAGACATGCAGGTAAAAAGTATGCCACAAGCATTTCGCAGGATAATAATAGCACGTACTGTGTGTCACTGGTCCGCGAATAACAAAGGAGCGGTGGTCCAAATAGCCAATCCCTCCAATCGGCAAGTGTACCTCAAGAAAAACACGCTTGTAGGGCACATATCTCCCGTGAAAACAGTGTTGCCGCAGACAGCGAGCAGCGTTCAAACGAGCAAAGAAGCGACGGCCAAACACCGTAAAGACCTACAAAAGGCACTTTCCAAAGGTTTCAACAATACCACCTTTTCGTCAGCTCAACGTGAAGAAATATTGAAATTGTGTACGAAATATCGTTCAGTTTTCTCATTAAC